TGCCCCATGAGCTGTATCATACCTCGCCTTAAAACTATGTATGGTTCCTGCCTCCACCACATCACTTTCTAGGCTATTCCATGGCCTGACTACTCTATGACTGAAGAAATACTTCCTAACATCCCTTTGATTCATCTGAGTCTTCAACTTCCAATTGTGACCTCTTGTGTCTGTGTCCCATCTCTGGAACATCCCGTCTTTGTCCACCTCGTCTATTCCGCGCAGTATTTTATATGTCGTTATCATGTCTCCCCTGACCCTCCTGGCCTCCAGTGTCGTCAGGCCGATTTCCCTCAACCTTTCTTCATAGGACAATCCCCGTAGCTCTGGGACTAGTCTTGTTGCAAACCTTTGCACTTTCTCTAATTTCTTGACGTGCTTGACTAGGTGTGCATTCCAAACTGGTGCTGCATACTCCAGTATGGCCTGACGTAGATGGTGTACAGAGTCTTAAACGAGTCCTTACTGAGGTAACGGAACGCTATCCGTAGGTTTGCCAGGCGCCCGTATGCTGCAGCAGTTATCTGATTGATGTGCGCCTCAGGAGATATGCTCGGTGTTATACTCACCCCCAGATCTTTTTCCTTGAGTGAGGTTTGCAGTCTTTGGCCATCTAAACTATATTGTGTCTGCGGTCTTCTTTGCCCTTCCCCAATCTTCATGACTTTGCATTTGGCAGGGTTAAATTCAAGGAGCCAGTTGCTGGACCAGGTTTGTAGCCTGTCCAGATCTCTTTGTAGTCCTGCCTGATCCTCGTCCGATTCGATTCTTCTCATTAACTTCACATCGTCTGCAAACAAGGACACTTCTGAGTCTATCCCTTCCGTTATGTCGTTCACGTGTACCAAGAACAGCACAGGTCCTAGGACTGACCCCTGTGGAACCCCGCTTGTCACAGGCGCCCACTCTGACACCTCGTCGCGTACCATGACTCGTTGTTTCCTCCCTGTCAGATATTCTCTGATCCATTGCAGTGCCTTTCCTGTTATGTGTGCCTGGTCCTCTAGCTTTTGCAGTAACCTCTTGTGAGGAACTGTGTCGAAAGCCTTCTTGCAGTCCAAAAATACGCAGTCGATCCACCCCTCTCTCTCTTGTCTTACTTCTGTCACCTTGTCATAAAACTCTAGTAGGTTTGTGACACAGGATTTTCCTTCCCTGAAACCGTGCTGGTTGTCAATTATACACTTGTTTCTTTCCAGGTGCCCCACCACTCTCCTCCTGATGATCTTCTCCATGACCTTGCATACTATACACGTTAGAGATACAGGTCTGTAGTTTAGTGCCTCATGTCTGTCTCCCTTTTTAAAAATTGGGACTACATTTGCCATTTTCCATACCTCAGGGAGTTGCACAGTTTCAAATGATGTGTTGAAGATCTTTGTTAATGGCTCACACAATATCTCTGCTCCCTCTTTAAGGACCCATGGAGAGATGTTGTCTGGTCCCACCGCCTTTGAGGTGTCAAGTTCGCATAGCAGCTTCTTCACCTCCTCCTTGGTTATATGTACCTCATCCAGCACTTGCTGGTGTGCCCCCCTGTTCTGATTTCTTGGAGTCCTACTGGTTTCCACTGTAAATACCTCTTTAAATCTTGTGTTGAGCTCCTGACATACCTCTCGGTCGTTTCTTGTGAATTCCCCATCACCCTTCCTCAGTCTGATTACCTGGTCCTTGATTGTTGTTTTCCTCCTGATGTGGCTGTACAACAGCTTCGGGTCAGTCTTTACTTTTGATGCTATGTCATTTTCATATTGTCTCTGAGCCTCCCTTCTTATCTGTGCATATTCGTTTCTGGCTCTTCGGCTGATTTCTTTATTTTCCTGAGTTCTCTGTCTTCTGTACCTTTTCCATTCTCTAGTACACCTAGTTTTTGCCTCCCTACACCTTTGGGTGAACCAAGGACTCGTTCTGTTCTTCCCATTATTTCTGTTTCCCTTGGGAACAAACCTCTCCTCTGCCTCCTTGCATTTTGTTGCTACATAGTCCATCATTTCTTGTACTGGTTTTCCTGTCAGTTCCCTCCCACTGAATGTCTTGAAGGAAGTTCCTCATGCCTGAGTAGTTCCCCCTTTTGTAGTTTGGTTTTTCCCAGCCTATTCCTGCTACTCTCTCCACTTGGAGCTCAACTATGTAGTCGAAGCACAGAACCACATGATCACTAGCTCCCAGGGGCCTTTCATACATGATACCCTCGATGTCCGAACTACTCATGGTGAATACAAGGTCCAACCTTGCTGGTTCATCCTCTCCTCTCTCTCTGGTAGTGTCTCTAACATGTTGATGCATGAGGTTCTCCAGTACCACATCCGTCATCTTGGCTCTCCATGTTTCGGGACCCCCATGGGGCTCCAGGTTTTCCCAGTCAATCTCCTTGTGATTGAAATCACCCATAACTAGTAACTTTGCTCCCCCCATGTGTGCTCTCCTGGCCACCTCGGCCACCTCGTCCCTGATCTCTGCCTCTCAGTGTGCCGGTGTTTGTGCCATCAAGTTATCAAGGTATCTTCTACATTGATCAGCTGCTCAGGCAGGCGCTGCATACTCACTGATGAATGTCGTATATAATCTTTAATGATATTTGTTAAGATTCCTAAATGTCTTCTTTTAGCGTGCTAGGTCCACATAATGGTTCGCATTATTGTGTGTGTGTATGTGTGTGTGAGTGTGTGTGTGTGTGTGTGTATTCACCTGTTTGTGATTGCAGGGGTTGATTCACAGCTCCTGTGTGCGTACGTATTTGTAGTTACAGGTGCAGAACTATGCTTGTGGTGTCTTGTCTTCAGTAACTTGTTCGGCACATTTTTTTTTTTTTAATTTCCAGTGGTTGTAGTACTTACCGCCGCCTCCTGTAGATCATTGTACTGGGTAATATCTCTCTCTCTCTGTCTCTCTCTCTGTCTCTCTCTCTCTCTTTCTCTCTCTCTCTTCGCCTTCTGATCTCTAGTATTCCTCCGGCTCCACTTGTTACTGTTTCCAGCTGTGGCCGCTCGTTGTCTCTCTTGATGGTGTTAAGAAGTCTACCCTCTTTTCGTTCCTTTTATGTCGTGACATCGTCACGTCTCCTCTCATGTCGTCACGTCTCTTCTTCCCGTGCCACCAGCCAGTCTGGGCATCTTTAAAGTTTTCACAATTTTATCATAATTCACATTTTTAACTCAGCTGGTCATTGTTTATCTCTTCTTTGGCCATTTTACAACCTATCATGGATTTTTTTATTAATTACGTAGGCACCACATAATTGCTGCCTATTCCATTTTTTGTCCTGATGTATCTTGTAAACCACATTTTTTGAGAATTTCTCCCTCCGTATATTTGGAAACTATTTTTAAAATTTCAGGCGTAGCACATCAGGTTTTTACAATTTTATTTTCTATAATATTCCACTGTTTTTTTTTTTTGTTAATGATGACTCGTAGATCCCATCTCTCTCTCTCTGTCTCTCTCTGTCTGTCTGTCTGTCTGTCTCTCTCTCTCTCTCTCTCTCTCTCTCTCTCTCTCTCTCTCTGTCTCTCTCTCTCTGTCTCTCTCTCTCTGTCTCTCTCTCTGTCTCTCTCTCTCTCTCTCTCTCTCTCTCTCTCTCTCTCTCTCTCTCTCTCTCTCTCTCTCTCTCTCTCCTCTCTCTCTCTCTCTCTCTCTCTCTCTCTCTCTCTCTCTCTCTCTTCTCTCTCTGTCTCTCTTCTCTGTCTCTCTCTGTCTCTCTTCTCTCTCTCTCTCTCTCTCTCTCTCTCTCTCTCTCTCTCTCTCTCTCTCTCTCTCTCTCTCTCTCTCTCTTGATACTTTCAATTTGTCACACAGTTTTTAGTTTGAATATTATACAGAAAAGTCTTAGTTTGGACAAGCAAAAAGTCACAATACCTTGACTGGAACAATACACAAATAACTCGCACATAGGAGAGAGAGAAACTTACCACGACGTTTCGGTCCGACTTGTACCATTTACAGCCACACTGTCATCATAAGCTCCTCTCTCCTATCTGCGGGATATTTACATACTTAGAAAGAGGTTCGGGGTTCCTGAGAGTATTATCCAGAGAGTTTAGATAAGCTGTTAAGGTGGATTGGAGATTTCGAGAGTCTGTGAGGATGTATAAACCCGTAGACTAAGGAAGCTGTTACAGTCTTCACGGGGCCTGAATTTGCTGTCTCTCACTGTCATAATATATTTCCTTACATTAAATTACATCTATCACCCCGGGAGATTTAGCCATTTTCATTATTTATTTTACCTAAGATATGTACATCATTACCAGACATATTCAGGGAGGTATTTTATTCCTCCTGGTAAGTCATTTATGTAAATTTAAAATGTTATTGAGGGGCCGTACAGATTCTTATGGCGCCCCGCTTGTCACGTCTCCCCACGACGATATTTCTCCTCTTATAACTGTTTTCATTTTCCTCTTCAACAGAATGTCTCTCATTTGTTGTAACAATTTGTCTTTTGTTTCGCCTATATTTTACACTTATCAGTTCGGGTTTTCGCTGGAAAATTCACCGAAAGTTTTCTTCAGATTTACCTGAAGGATACCAGAAGGATGCTTCCAGGAGTCACCGTCCCCGCGGTCCGGTCCAGACCAGGCCTCCCGGTGGATCAAGGCCTAATCAGCCAGGCTGTTCTGCTGGCCGCACGCAGCCCGGTTGGTCAGGGATTGATTTGAGGAACTTGTGGGTGGCGCCACAGCTGGTGGATACGAGGGTGTGAAGCCGTGGGTGGCGCCACAGCTGGTAAATATGAACCTGTGGGTGGTGCCACAGCTGGTGGGTATGAAGCCGTGGGTGGCGCCACAGCTGGTGGGTATGAGGGTATGAAGCCGTGGGTTTCGCCACAGCTGGTGAGTATGAAGGTATGAAGCCATGGGTGGCGCCACAGCTGGTGGGTATGAGGGTAGGGGTGGGATGGGGGGTGAAGCCGGCGCTGGTGACACCACAGTACACAAAAAAATGGCGGAGGCGAGTATAAAAGGAGGAGAGCAGCGGTTTGTCCCTTCAGTTGAAGCTCAGAGTTGGTCCAGTTATGTAGCACAAGTCGTGCACTCTCTAAATAACTTACAGTCTGTAAAGAATCTTTGTCTAAAACCTCTGTTTAGCGAACTACCTGTAAATACACTGTTGGATTTTGTTTAGGTAGGTAGACAGTTGTTTGAGATACATCTGGTGTTTGAGGTACCACATTAGACTCGAGAAGTGAAACATACAGTTCCGTACCCATACTATTGACACGCGTCTACCCACTATGATGCCCAGCGTGGTGGTGTGGGCGTGCCTAGCCACTACTGTGGTGACGGCTGTTCTGGGAGCTTCCAGACACCACCACAGCGGCCAACTAACAACAAGGAGTGGCCTCGACGACCTGTTGGATCGTTTAGACTCGTCCATACAGAAGAAGAACAAGAGGCTACAGCGGGGACTACCAACCACCTTCCAGTACCGCGTGAGTACCATCACAACCATGTGTGTCTTCAAGATCAACACACGTGTGCAACAGCTCGGCATCTTCATTGATGAAACGTTTCACCTACTCAGTAAGCTTCTTCAGTCAAGTACAAAGGGAACAGTAGTAATGAAATGAAGATTTAATCAGTTCATCAACCTTGGAGAAAAAGTATTTGAAGTGATAAGTCCCTCCATGAAGGTGAAAGCTTCTCCAGGCTGAGGGACTGACCACCTCAAATACTTTTTCTCCAAGGTTGATAGACTGATTACATCATCATTATTTCATTACTACTGCTCCCTTTGTATTTGACTGAAGAAGCCTACTGTGTAAGCGAAATGTTTCATTAATAAAGATGTTCAACTGATGCACATGTGTCATATTCGTCAACTTGTAGGTATTATCTACCATTGTCAGCATGTTTGTGTTGTTATATTGGGCATAACAGGATACATCAGCGGTCTGCTGCTGCCCCATTCACTGTGATAGTTACACAGTCTACCTGGAGAGTTCCGGGGGTCAACACCCCCGCGGACGGCGGGAACAAAAGCTAGCTGTTTCATTGTCATATACCATCACACAGGAAGTTATACATACAAAGTTGAAATGTATCAGCCTGAGCTGGGAGACTTCAGTAGTGTCAGTCTGAGCTGGGAGACTTCAGCAGTGTCAGCCTGAGCTGGGAGACGTCAGCAGTGTCAGCCTGAGCTGGGAGACTTCAGCAGTGTCAGCCTGAGCTGGGAGACTTCAGCAGTGTCAGTCTGAGCTGGGAGACTTCAGCAGTGTCAGTCTGAGCAGGGAGACTTCAGCAGTATCAGCCTGAGCTGGGAGACTTCAGCAGTGTCAGCCTGAGCTGGGAGACTTCAGCAGTGTCAGTCTGAGCAGGGAGACTTCAGCAGTATCAGCCTGAGCTGGGAGACGTCAGCAGTGTCAGCCTGAGCTGGGAGACTTGACTAAGACAATAAGAATATTGGGAAGTATTCCATTAAAAGGTTGATGAGGTGCGGCAGCATCAAAGGTTACCGTCCAGCAGTCACTATCACACACACCACAAATGGAATATATTTTAATGGAAATGTCATCATCAAACAGTTTGTATTCAATGTGTTGAAATTATTTCCATATATTCATAACAGCTGGAACATGAGAGTGGAAACACGTCACACTTAATATTATTATCTTTATGTAAGTCCATCCTGCGTGATGGAGTATGTCAGGGAGATCATCCTGCGTGATGGAGTATGTCAGGGAGATCATCCTGCGTGATGGAGTATGTCAGGGAGATCATCCTGCGTGATGGAGTATGTCAGGGAGATCATCCTGCGTGATGGGTATGTCGGGGAATCATCCCCGGGGGATGGAGATGTCAGGGAGTCATCCCGCTGATGGGGTATGTCAGGGAATCATCCTGCGGATGGAGTTGAGGGAGACATCCCGCTGATGGAGTATGTCGGGAGTTTCCCCCGTTGGATTGTCAGGGGTCATCCGCTGATGGAGTAGTCAGGAGACATCCTGCTGATGGAGTATGTCAGGGGATCCCTCCCGGTGAGGATAGTAGGGGGATCATCTTTCCCCTGGGAGTATGTCAGGGAGATTCCTGCGTGTGGATATGTCAGGGGGAAACTCCGGTGAGGAATGACAGGGGGGAAAACATCCTGCGTGATGGGTATGCAGGGAGGTCATCCGCTGATGGGTATGACAGGGAGATCATCCTGCGTGATGGAGTAGACAGGGAGATAACCCGCGTGATGGAGATGTAGGGAGATCATCCTGCGTGATGGGTTTGTCAGGGAGCATCCTGCGTGATGGAGTATGCGGAGGTCATCCCGCGTGATGGGTAGTCAGGGGGGTCATACTGCGTGATGGGTATGTCAGGGGGGTCTCCTGCGTTTGGAGTATAAGGGGGAAACATCCTGCGTGAGGGGATGTCAGGGAGATTCCCGCTGTTTGGAGTTTTCAGGGAGGGGCATCCCGCGTGTGGGGGTATGTCAGGGGGGGGGTTTTCGCGGTGGGTTTGTCGGGAGGGCTCCCCGCGTATGGGGGTTGACAGGGAGATCATCCGCGTGGGGTAGTCGGGGTCACCTGCGTGATGGAGTAGTCAGGGAGATTTATCCTGCGTTTTTGGAGTATTGGGAGGTATCCCGCGTGATGGAGTATTTAGGGAATCCTGCGTATGGGGTTTTGTAGGGGATAAACCTCGTGATGGAGTATGTCAGAGGGTCATCCTGCGTGATGGGTTTGTCGGGGGTCATCCCGCGTGTGGAGTTGAAAAGGGGATCATCCTGGTGATGGAGTATGCAGGGAATCATCCCGCGTGATGGGGTATGTCGGGGGGATATCCGGGGGGATGGAGTATGTCAGGGGGGGTCATCTGCGGGGGAGTATTCGGGAGGTCATCCTCGTGATGGAGTATGACAGGGGGATATCCGGTCATGGGAAATATGTCAGGGGATCATCCTGCGTGATGGGTATGTCAGGGAGACATCCGCGTGATGGAGTATACAGGGAATTTTGCGTGATGGAGTATGTAGGGGGATCACCTGCGTGATGGGTATGTCAGGGGGATCATCTGCATGATGGAGTATTCGGGGGGTCATCCTGCGTGTGGAGTAGTCGGGAGGTCTTTGCGTGTGGGTAGACAGGGGATCATCCCGCGTGATGGGTTGTCAGGGAGATATCCTGCGTGATGGGTATGTCAGGGAGATCTCCTCGTGAGGAGTAAAGACGGGGGTCTCCTGCGTATGGGGTAGTCAGGGGATCATCCCGGTGATGGGATGAAGGGGTCATCCTCGTGATGGATATGACAGGGGAATCTCCTGCGTGGGTGGGGTATGTCGGGAGTCATCCTGGTGTGGAGTTTGTCAGGGAGGTCATCCTGCGTGAGGAGTATGTCAGGGAGGCTACTGCGTGATGGAGTATTCAGGGAGGTCATCCCGCGTGATGGGTATGACAGGGGGGAACTCCGCGTGATGGAGTATGTTTTAGGGAGATCATCCCGCGTGATGGATATGTCAGGGGGATTCCTGCGTGATGGGGTTTTGTAGGGAGGCACCTGCTGTGGAGTATGTCAGGGGAGGTCACCCGCGTGAGGAGTTTTGACAGGGAGATCATTGCGTGAAGGAGATGTCAGGGAGATCATCCCGCGGGGAGTATTAAGGGGGAAACATCCTGCGGATGGGTAGACAGGGGGATTATCCCGCGGATGGGTATTCAGGGAAAACATTGCTGATGGGAATGTCAGGGAGATCCTGCGTGATGGGTTTTTAGGGGGGAATCTCCTGCGTGATGGGTATGTCGGGGGATCATCCCTTTTAGGAGTTGAAGGGGATATCCGCGTGATGGAGTTGACAGGGGGGATCTCTGCGTGTGGGAGTAGGGAGAATCCTGCGTGTGGAGTATGTCAGGGAGATCACCTCGGTTGGGTATGTCAGGGAGAATCCTGTGTGTTGGGGGTATGAGGGAATCATCCCGCGTGATGAGTAGCAGGGAGTTCCTGCGTGATGGGTATGTCGGGGGATCATCCTGCGTGTGGGTTGTCAGGGAGATATCCCCGGTGATGGAGTATTAGGGAATCATCCTGCGTGATGGAGTATGTCAGGGAAATTTCCCGGTGGGTATTTGTCAGGGAATCACCCCGCGTGATGGAGTAGCAGGGGATCATCCCCGGATGGAGATGAAGGGGGAAAATCCGCGTGAGGAGATGTAGGAGACACCCGCGTGAGGGTATGACAGGGGGGATCAACTGCGTGATGGGTATGCAGGGAGATTATCCTGCGTGATGGGTATGACAGGGAGATCATCCTGGTGTGGGGATAAAGGGAGATCATTTGCGTGATGGGGGTTGAAGGGAGATCATCCTGCGTGTGGGATATGACAGGGAGAAACCTGCGTGATGGAGTATGAAAGGGGGATCATACTGTGTGACGAAGTATGGGGGGGATCTACGTGTGATGGAATATGAAGGGGATCATATGTGTGATGGGGGTATGACAGGGATATACTGTGTGATGGGGTATGACAGGGAGATCAACTGTTGATGGAGCTGACAGGGAGATCTACTGTGTGATGGATATGAAGGGTTTATACTGTGTGATGAAGATGCAGGGGAGTCATATGTGTGATGGGTAGCGGGGAAAATCATCTGTGTGTGAAGTATGCAGGGGGGAAACATACTGTTGTGGAGATGAAAGGGGGTCAAAATGGTGATGAAGATGACGGGGACAAATGGTAATGAAGTATGCAGGGGGATCAAGTGTAATGAAATTTGACAGGGGATTTACGGTGTGAAGTATGACAGGGAGACATATGTGTGATGGAGTAGACAAGGAGTCATACAGTGGATGGAGTATGAAGGGAAACATACTGTGTGATGGGTATGAAGGGAGTCATCCTGCGTGTGGAGTTGACAGGGAAAAAATCCCCGCGATGGGTTTTTGACAGGGGAAACATACTGTGTGATGGAGTAGGGCAGGGGGATCATCTGTGTGTGGAGTATGACAGGGGGTCATACTGTTTGATGGAGTTTAAGGGAGATATCCTGGGGGTGAGGAGTATGCAGGGAGATCATCCGCTGATGGGATGACGGGGATCATTACTTTTTTGAGGGATGACAGGGAGATCTTTTTGCGTGTGGAGTATGACGGAGTCATCCTGCGTGATGGAGTATGTCAGGGGGATACCCGCGTGATGGATTGAAGGGGAAACTCCTGTGTATGGAGTTGACAGGGAGATCATCTGGTGTGGAGTTGACAGGGAGATCATACTGGGTTTATGGGGTTGTCATGAGATCATCCTGCTGATGGGTTTGTCAGGGAGATCATCCCGCGGATGGGGATGACAGGGAGATCAACCCGCGGGTGGAGTATGACAGGGAATCATCCTGCGTATGGGTATGACAGGGAGATCATATGTGTGATGGGTTTGACGGGAGACATTAAAAAGGGGTGGAGTATGACAGGGAATTACTGTGGGGGTATGACAGGGGATCATCCCGCGTGATG